CAGACTGGGGTGGCAGTTCAGAGGCAGGACTCCCGGAGAGCCTGTGTGTGTGCTCTTCCTGAAGACAGCTTCTCCCAGAGCTCTATAGCCTCGCTTTTAATTGTTCGTGGCTCTTGTGCCGTTGTTTACAGTTCATTTATAAACTAGCAGAAGTCATTCTTCTTCAATTTTGAAGGCTCTAAATTTGGAACTTTCGCTCTGTGGTTTTTGGGGGTTTGTTTGTCTGTTTGTTTGTTTGATTGATTTTTCAAGACAGGGGTTTAACTGGGTAACAGCCCCAGCTATCCTGGAACTTGCTCTTGTAGACCAGGCTGGTCTCAAACTCAGAGAGATCCGCCTGCCTCTGCCTCCCACGTGACAGAATTAAAGGCGTGTGCCACCAGCGCCCAGCTGCTCCGTGTTTTGTTTTCCTTCCTCTCCCCCACCAAAATTTCATCAGATTCCCAAACGTACGTAAGTCTTGGGATAGCAGAGCTGGATTGCAACCTCTTCAACTTGGGAGACCAAGGCAGGAACTTTGTCAGTGCAAGATCTGTCTGCACTTTTTTAGCAAGTCCCTAAACAGAGTGAAGAATGGGCTGGGGAAATGGTTCAGTGGCAAAGCCCTTGCCCAGCATGTGTGGGGCCATGGATTCCATACCAGCGCCATAAGACGTAGACAGACAGATTTATGTGAATGCCCAGGACCCGGGCTTTTGATGAGATGATTATCTTAAAGTGACCCAATATTGTCTAATAGTAAAGTGGGTTGTTAGAGGTAGTAATTAAGATTCAGACTAACAGTGTGTTAAGCTTAAAAAAAAATGGCTCCTTTCTTCCTGATAGTTGTTTAGAGTCTTTGTTTTGATTTTTTTTTTCGTTGAACCTGAGTTGAGAAAACAGTCATGATGCAAAGAGTAAAATTATCTCTTAACTATGCAGCACTTTCATTTTGGATACCCAGTAGTAATTGATTTTTATAATTATGTCCTTGACGATCATAACCGTAGAAGGGAATGTAGTAAAAATTTGCTCTTTGCTTTACTAAATTGACATTAGAATTTATATCACTGTTTCCCTTGTGAATATTCTACAGAAACCCTGCTATTAGAATCTAGGTCTTTCCCAGGAGAATGTCTTAACTTTCTAGTATATTCCATCTCTAACAAGGCCCTGGTTTCCAACTCAGGAGGTTAAGGTATTTCTAGGGAGTCTGGCTACCTTGAAATTTTGCATATTCTAAGTCTGTCCATTTCACTGTAGTTTTGTTATTTCTTTTTTCTTTGGTATCCAGCTTATGTATGTCCTGGAGTTTCATTACCTAGTCATCTGTGTTTGGACAATGGGGTTAGTTTCATTTCCTTGCTGTAGTAAAGCAGCAATAAATATGAGGGTGCAAATATCTCTATCATAGGGTGTGAAGGTCTCTGGGTGTGTGCCCAGAGAGGAATGGCTGGAAGGAATGGTAGACCCCTCAACAGTGAATAAGGGTTCCCTTTTCTTCACATCCTCTCCAGCATTGATTCTCAGCTTTCTTGATAGCAGCTCCTCTGACTGGGGTGACGGGGATCTCAGGGTAGTTTTAGTTTGCAATTCCTTGGTGCCTAGGATTGTTGAAGACTTTCTAAAAGAGTTATTGGCCATTTCCTCTCCCGCCCCCCCCCCCCGCTCTCTGCTCATTTGCTGACTGGAAAGCTTTACTTACTTGCTGCTTGCTTCCTGTAGTTCTTGGCAAACCCTAGCTATGAGCCCTTTGTCCAGAGTGTAGCTGGGAAAGGTTTTCTGGATAGTGGGCCGCCTGTGTTCTCTGCTGGCAGTTTCTTTTGCTGTGCAGAAACTTTTTAGTCACATATAGCCCCATCTGTTGACACCCAGGGACAGTTCATGTGTTATTGAACTTCCAGTAACAGTGTCTTAGCTGTTGGAGGGATGGACACACAGACCGGTTATTGTTGTTGCATTAGGCGTCTACTGTCCGAAGTGTTAGTTTTCTTGTCTTGCTTGTTCTGTTGCTGCCATGAAATTCATGGTACATTAAGAAGGAAGGCTTCACGTCAGCTCACAGCCCGAGGTTACCGTCATCATGGCAGGGAAGGTATGGCTGCAAGAGCGTGAGGCAGCTGCTCACCTTCCACCTGCAGCAGGAACGGGAGAGATGAATGCTGGCAGCAAGCTTGCCTTTTCTTCTACCATTATATTTAGAATGGGTCTCCCAATCTAGAAACTTCGCAGCAGGTACACCCAGAGGTCCGAACGGTGATTCTAAGTCTATCAAGTTGGCGGTCAAGGCTGACAACCTCTAATGTCTCTGTTTCGCCGTGGTGTATTCCAGCCTTTGTTTTCCCTCACACGTACCCCACATGGTATTTTTATGCATGCAATGTTAAAGAGCAAAGCCTGCGCTCCCAGATGCTCAACACAGACTTCCACTGAGCCTCATGCCCGGCCCAAAGTAAATTGCAAAACAGTCTTGTCAGGAGCTACAGAAATCTTGCTGAGCCCACTCGGTCATAGTGGATGATTGCTGAATTCTCTTCAATAATATTCTGTTGAGGATTTCTGCTTCTATGTTCATGGGAAATTTTGACCTCTAGCCGTTTTCTTTTCTTATCTCTTTCCTCTCTCTCTCTCTCTCTCTCTCTCTCTCTCTCTCTCTGTCTCTGTCTCTCTCGCATGCACACCTGTGGCATGATTTCCACATGATTTGGGTATCTTTCCTGGGTTCTTTTCAATATATAATGCAGGTGTCCTTATGCAAACGGAAGTCTGGTTCAAATATGAAGAAAAGTAAATGGAATTAAAATGCATCTAAAATCCTACTGCACAGAGAGAACTCATAGCTGAGCTTCACGTTTTTATTTTAGCACATTTGTGCTTCCTCTGGGGCACGGTGTGATCCTTTCATATGTGGTGTAATGATCAAGTTGGGGAGAAGACTGCAGCCGTCTTCTCAAATACTGCCTTCAAATCCTGACTTCTGTTTCGGGGTGCACATTGCTGCTAGCCGAGGTCACTGCACTGTGCAACAGAAATGAGATTCTGACCTGGCTTCGCTGCTGTGACTTTGACCTCTCTGCAACCCCTCCCCATCCCCCATGCAGCCCTGCACAGCCTCTGGCAGCCCCTGTTTGACTCACTGCTGGAAGATGTCTGTCTGTGCATCTGGCTTCTGTCACTGGGCATGATGTCCTCTGACTTCATTCACACTGCCCTCCCAGATAGAGTCCCATTCTTTACATGGCTGAATAGTACTCATTTGTATACCTCTCCATTTTTGACCACTTAGATTGATTTCCCCATCAAAACGATTGTGAAAACTGGTGCTGTAAACAGATGGATGTTTATGGAAAATTTTGGTGCATAACTTTTTAGCAAATCACTTTTTGTCTTAAAAATCCAAAGAATTAGTACTGAGAGATGACTCAGTGGGTTCAATTCCCAGCACCCTCATTGGCTGGCTAAGCGTGCACCTGTAGTCCAGCTCCAGGGAGTGCATGTTTCTGGCTCCTGTGGGCTCCCATATGCACATGTAAATAAAAAAGCAGAGACACGGAATTGAAACAGGAAGGTAAGGATAAGACATCACACATATGCTCAGGCATGGTTTCCCTTTCTGTACCTGTGCTAGCCTGCAGAATGTGCGTGGTGATTTTGAATGCTTCAGAGAGCCTTGCAGGGTTTGCCTAAAAGCCTCATACACATCCATCCCCGGGAGAAGGGTACTTTCCCCCACTTCTTTGCCGTTGCTGCATTACTTTTAGATAAGCAATTCAATTCATAACTGTGGAATGAAAATACTTCTCCCCTCCAAAATTATCAAAATTTAATTGAGAATTATTATCTTTTAAATAGGGCAAAAATTAATATCAACATAATTTGAAGGGGGTCTCTGTATAAAGTAATTTAATAAAATCTTTAAGTCAGTAAAATGATCATGTAAGATCTTTTCCTAGCTTTAATGTAGGCAGTTTTATGTCAGGAGTTGATTGTGTGGGTGTCTTTTATGTCTTTGATCAATACTGGAATTCTATTCTGTCTGAAAAACTGGAAATCAAAACTCTGATCTGGGGGACTTCTGCCACTGATGCGGTGGGATGAGCACTCATGCTGAAATTTCACAGATCTCCATATGGCGTGGCTTTCCTCTGAGCAACACGTATCCATCACACCTACACATACATGCAGACAGGTGGCAGATATGTATCCATCACACCTACACATACATGCAGACAGGTGGCAGATATGTTTCCGTCACATCTGCACATACATGCAGATACATGACAAATATGTATCCATCACACCTACACATACATGCAGATAGTTAACAGATAATTATTCATCACACCTACACATACATGAAGTTTGACACCAAGTTAAATTAATAAAACAACAGTAGGCAATGGATTTGAAGCTCTGATGACCTTCCCAGCCTTGGGCTTTTGACAGGTTTATGGTATCAGGCATTAGTTTTACCCATGGGGCAGGACTTAAATTTAACCAGAAAAGTAGTTGGCTATACGAGTCATCGTGTGCACAGGCATGCAGATGCTAGCGGTCACCATGAGCTGTCTTCCTCTGTCACTTCATTGTTTTTGATGCAGCTCACTGCAGCTCACTGGTTTGCTGGTCAGCAAGTCCTAGGGATTATCCTGTCTCCTCAGGGCTGGGACTATAGGTGTCTGTCCCTCCGTGTGTACTGAGGCTCAGACTCAAGTCCTCAGCAGCAAACGCTTGACGGTCTGAGTTGTCTCTTGGGTCCTTGCTTTTATTTTTTGATGTCAGCTAATCAGTGCGCGTTCACTTTATCACTGAGTCATACCGACATGAACAAAATGATTATGGTTAGTGTGTATGGCATTAAGTGAGAGTCTAAAATGTGTGTAAATCATCGCTCATCACACACCTCCCCTAGAACTGCACGAAGCGAAGTGCATCCCACGACACAGCTCAGTGAAGGAGCCTTCGTCGCTTCATGGAAAAGGGATAATTTCTCCTGCTTCAGCATTGTTCTGATTTTACAGGATTCAAGCCAAAACGCGTGAATTTAGGGAGCGGCAGGCTCGAGAGCGTGACTATGCTGAAATCCAGGACTACCATCGGACGTTCGGCTGTGATGAGGAGCTGCTGCGTGGGGGCATGTCATCCTATGAAGGCTGCCTGGCCCTCAATGCCAGACCCCAGAGCCCCAGGGAAGGGCATCTGATGGACACGCTGTATGCACAAGTGAAGAAGCCACGGAGCTCCAAACCTGGGGACAGGTAGGTGCTGGTTGTCACGGTTGCGTCTGCCAGCCCTGCAGGTTCTGGGCAGTGGAGAAGATGGTTTGTCAGGGCCCATGGTAAAAATGCTGCTTATTAACTGCCTTTCAAAGGCTGTTGCATTTAACGGTATTGAGTTGGCACAGATCAATGCCTGGTGGGATGAAGAGAGAGAAGTTGTGATTGCTTTCCTTACAGTCCCAGCCGAGCTCACCCTGCTCTTGACGACCCTTGGACTTGGCCTGTCTGTGGCTGACAACTCAGATCAAAGGCAAACTGGAAGCATAAGCAGTGTTCAGTGTGTTCTTGTCTTGCTCGAAGGGCTCCCGGGTAGGATAACTAAATGCATTTGGACCCTCTTTTGGATTATGACTTAGAAGGGCCACTTTGGGGGTGGCATAATTTTATACTATGAAAGAATTAGTAACTAGGAAAGATAGCACATCTATTCTACAAGAGGCTTGTTAGGCACCGTAGGCTTCAGGTCAGGGTGTGTTTATCAGTACAGCAGACAGAAAGAAATGACGATTGTGTTTTAATAGTTACCTGGTTATTTACGCATTGAACCAAGTCTGTGAGCCTGTGTTACTGACATACACTTATTAAGCTCTATGCAATGCTGGTATACTTACTTGAAATGGTGATATGCATATTTTCAGATTTTAGCTGGAACAATCTTGAATGGATCTTTCCCCACCCCTCCCTTTATAGACTCAAACACCATATGGAGTTTAGCTTCGAAGAGAATAATTCGCGTTTCCTTTCATATCAAACATGTGCACGCTATTGTCATAAACAATACACCAATCGTGTTCTAAACGTCGCTTACCGCTCTCTATGGCAGCTGGGCTTTGTAAATTATAAATGGTTTTCCTTAAAAACAGTGTTTCTGAAGCATTTATGTGCATTGGGCTCGCCTGAAAGGCTTCTCCAAACACTGGCTGACTACTGTTTTGATGCAGTAGGTTGAGGGTGGAGTCCAAGAACTGAAATTTTTTTTTTTAGGATCCCCTAAGTAATGCTGGCCCTGCAGGTCATGGTTTCAGAGTCCTTTGCAGGACACAGGCTATGGGCTCTGCTGATGTTTTCTCCCCTCTGTTTCCCAACAGCCCTCTTTGTAACAACTGACTTTAGCTATTAGTAGCAGAATCTTGCAAATGCAGAAAGCAACTTCCGGCAATTACAGAAAGAAACATTTTTAAAAATAGCAGACCGGAACAAAGGCAAGCATAGCAGCTCCGGAAGGAGCGCCTCCCACGGCAATTGTCCTGGCCCTGCACCTTCCTTGTTTAGACTTTTTTCCTGATTGTCTCAGAAAATCTGTTTGACATTGAATATGAATCCTCTAACATGAACACTTAGGGTGGCTCTGGCCTCTTCGCCGTGTCCCCAGAAGGCTCCTGTGTGTATTAACAGATGCATCACGACTCGAGAATGAAGTTCTCATCAGTGGCAGGGACATTTTCTTTAAAAGCTTTTTGTCTCATTTCTGCCGTGATTGTGGAAGCTGTCTCCAGAAGGTTGAGTGGCACCCGAAGGTGCCTTCTTGAGAGAAAGGCCACCCAAACACCAGCACTTCTGGCTAGTGACTCCTGGGGGAACAGGGAGAACAGGGAGAAGATGACCTAGAGATTATTGATGGCTGATAAAAGAGCCAAGCGTTTCTACATCTCCCACACTCACTCAAAAATCTGAAAGCCAGGAGCAAGGCTGCAGCAGTGACCGTCAGAGAGGGCCACCCTGCTCTCTCTAACGCAGACAGCTGCCTTAAACCAACCCAGCACTCCCCGAAAGCTGCCCTCTCATCTGAAGGCTTCAGCAAGTGTTCAAAGGGTGTCGTCTTTTTAGGGTGCTCCCTCCTCCATCTGGACCCGCGGTCTCCATGCCCTGCTCTGCTAACCCAGATCTGAAAAAGGCCCGGGCTTATGCCCACCCACAGTCTGCTTTACAGGGAGGGCTATGCTAAGCAGAGATCAGAACCATAACTTTGACACCCCTCTCCTCCAAGGCTGCTCCACTTTACCTGGAGGGCCGTGATGTATTTTTGCTGGGAAAGAAAAGATTATAGACACTTGCCAAATTTTTTACTCTCATTTTTGCAGAGAATGAGGTACCCGTTCATGACTAGTGGTGGTACTACTTTAGTCGTGACCTTGGTGCCTGTCAAGCCCTTTCTCGCTCACCTGTTGTTGAATATGGACTTAGCTTGGGAGCTTGGCCTCACTCCAGTGTCTTTCTTGTTAAGGAGAAAGCTCTGGAAAAGCTGCTCACGCTTGGGTCGTGTAGAAGCCCTTTTCTTTAAAAAAAAAAAAAAAGCGATCTCTTGTTACTGTCACACGGCTATAAATTGCTGTGATTATAACATTTCTTAAATACATAATAAAGATAACATAAGACTGGACTCCTGTGTAGAACCATCGCATGTCTGATAAAACTTTAATCTTTACAAAGTTAGATATAGACAAAATGACAAACCCGTTGCATGAACGGGTTATGCAACCCGTTTGAACCCAGTGAACTATGTTAGCATAGCCAGTATTATTTTTTTTCCATCATCATTTTATTTTATTGGTGTGTTTTAACCAGAGTCAGTAGGAGGAGCAGGTGTGATGGTGCACGCCCATCATGCCCATGCCCAGGAGCTGGTGTGATAGTGCACGCCTGTCACGCCTGTGCCCAGGCAGGCTGGAGTTGGTTTTGATATGTGTGTGAGGTGAGTGCAAATTCACCTCACCCCTCCCTCTCCTGATTCCATCAATGCTTTTGCAAATGTGTGGCCCATGATCTTAGACTGGAATATGATATTGATATAGCAGACAGCGACTTTCATGAGCCTACAAGGTGATCTAGGCTATGCTGATATGAACTTTAAAAAGTAATCGTTCTAATGGAAATATGAAAGTTAAAACCACTCAGAGAGATGTTTTCTCTGATGAATAATGTACAGATGCTTGTTGACTGACTAAATGTCACCAGAATTTGCCATGGGTCTCTGTTGAACTTTGCTATTCAGATCTCTGTGTTTTGTGGGAACGCAGGCATTGCTGATAAGCTGAGGTGTACTGCTCCGATTTTCTTTGTTCAGTAAAAAAAGCAGCCCCCAGGATGCCTTGCTCAGTCATTCTGATGGATCTCACAGCCAGAAGCCCAGAAGCAACCTAGGAAACATATTAAAAGACATGAACTTGGTGTCACAATGGGCATGCTTACCCTATTCCACATATTGTGTGCACAGTGACTTTCTAGCACGCATGCAGATATGTTTAGAGATAGATTCATGCCTCTGTGAGTGGGTCCACAGGTGAATTTGGTAACCTTCCCTTTATGTCTGTTTAGTTTCATGCATGTTTGTTCTGCCAGTCTTCCCAGCTGTATCAGAACATGTATACTGTAGTCATGGCACCAACTTCTTTTCGTTATCCGTGTCCTTGATAACACTTTGGTTTGCACATTAGATATACGCTAAATAGGCAGACACTAATCTTTGCTCTGTGTGAATAGTTAGGCTTAAATTCACCAGAATGTTAGTAGGCTTCTTATTGAGTCTATGTATAACTAGGGACTTCAAAGACTTAGGCAGGGCCTGTGATTCGTAAGCCTCCTATATTACCATGGCTAAGGTAACTTCTTTGGCCGCTATGCCCTGGTTGGCCAAGAGCCCTGTTTCTGATGCAGTGTGCATTGAAAGACACTACCAGTTACCTACCTAACCAGTACCTCTTCTCTCCTCTCCATTGTGGAGTAAATCCTTGTTTTACTCTGATAGGCAAGTGCTTACCTAAGTGTTTCAGGTTTTAAATGCCTAGTGAGCCATGTGACGGAGTTCTAACTAGTAAGCATTGGAAGCAGCTGGGCAAATGGAATTTCCTGCAGAGCTAGGTTTTCCCCCCTGGTTTTGTATGTGTGTAAGGGTGCGTGTTCTCATATGCCTGTGCGTGCATGCAATGTGTCCTGTGACTGAGGATCTCCCTCGCACAACTGAAGCTCTCGATCCCTTCCATAGCACATTAGAATCGCGAGTGTGTTTGGTATTGCACTTCAGTGTTTTCTGATTTTCTTCCAGAATCTTGGATAGGTGCTCTAGGGTGGGCCTTACCTAAAAAGCCTAAAAGGGAAGGCCACGTAGAATCCGCTGAGCAGTGGCAATTCCTTCCTGTCAGGCCCTGGCCCTTTGTCAGCGTGAAAAAATCAGTCTGTTGCTAAAGTTGCTTCGTTGAGATTTCTGTCTCAAAAGACCAGATGCTAGGGTGGATGTAAGGAACCGTATACAGAAGAGCTCAAAGAGAAGCCCTCTTCTCCTCTTTCCTCATCCCCTCTCCCCTTCCTTCCCTCCCTCTTTAGCTGTGCTCCTCACCCCTGCTCCTCCTTCTCCTTTTTAAAGAGAGAATCTTACGTATCCTGGGCTGACCTCAAACTCACTACACAGTCAAGGATGACCTTGAACTCACTACATAGTCAAGGATGACCTTGAACTTGTCACCTGCCTGCCTTCGCTTCCCCAGAACTGGGGCTATCTGATTCATGCTGCGTTTTATCCATTGGATGTCAGCCCACAGAACCCTCCTTAACTGTTTAAGAGTCTTTTAGATCCTAATGACTCCCACCTCCGCGGACGATTCTCCTACAAGATCAGAGGCAGCTGAGATCAAGAACTTGAACTATGCCAGCAGCACGCCAGAGTTTGGGTCTGTGCTTTCATTGTGAGCTGAGCACTCTGTCTTGTTCCTTTCACCTGTGACATGGGGCTCAGAGGCATTGGCTCACGAGGCTTGGCAGAGACCAGCTCTGTTCAGAGTGAAGCGTTGAGCTCTGTGCCTGGTGCATCCTAAACACCATTCCAGTGCATCCTAAACACCATTCCAGTG